TTCACCCAGACTCAGCCCCCCCGCCCCCAAATCATATCTGGACCCACCCAGCAGGCTGGACACACACTTGACCTAGTTTTTGTGGCGGACAGTGGAATGATCAGAGTGGAAGAACAAAACATCCTTCTGGTGTCATGGTCTGATCACTATCTGATCAGTTTTAGACTTTCTGCGACCCTCAACCTTCGCAGGGGTGGAGGACAGATTAAGATGGTCCGCCCCAGGAGACTGATGGATCTGGATGGGTTCCTGAGGAATCTTGGGGTTCTTCCTGCCATGGAGCCTGGTGATTCTGTCGATGCCTTGGTGGATCTCTACAATAGGGAGATGTCCAGGGCGATAGATACGATCACTCCCGAACGCCCCATCACGTTGCGTCGTGACAGTCCGCTCCCTGGTTTACTGGGGAGCTGGCTGTGATGAAGCACACGAGAAGGGGGCTAGAGCGCATTTGTAGGAGATCTTGGCATGTGTCTGGCCAAGCATGGGCTAAAGCCTCTCTTAAGGCATATTCCGTGGCTATACAGATGCCAGGGAATCTTTCACAACCACCCGTATAGCGTCTGCAGCAAATAGATCATCGGAGCTGTTTTGGGTTGTCGGGGAACTCCTTCACCCACCTGTGGTGGAGGAGACCTTCGACGACCCAGCAACTCGGTGTTGCGAGTTCGCACACCATTTTGCAGGCGAAGTTGCTCAGATACGTCTTGAGCTCGACTCCAATTTCATCACAGTACCAGATGAGGTGATTGAGGCATCTGCTTGTCCAATTTTGTGGGATTCTTTTAGGCTTGTTCTTCCTGAGACCGTGGAAGAGGTCCTTGGAGCTGTGAGGGCGACCACTTCGGCTCTAGACCCTTGCCCATCTTGGCTAATTAAATCGGCCAAGGAGGGGTTGGTTGATTGGTTTGTGTTGATCATTAATGCATCGTTGGAGCAGGGGATTTTTCCATCTAATTTGAAGCAGGCTGTGGTTCGTCCACTCCTCAAAAAGGCTTCCCTTGACTCCACGGTGCTGAACAATTACAGACAGATCTCCAACCTCCCTTTTTTGGGTAAGGTGCTGGAGCGGGTGGTCACCCTCAGCTCCAGGGCTTTTTGGATGACATCAATTACCTAGATCAGTCACAGTCTGGTTTCAGGCCTGGTCACGGCACTGAGACAGCCTTGGTCGCCTTGGTGGATGACCTCCGTAGAGAGCTGGACAGGGGGAGTGTGACTCTGTTGGTTCTCTTGGACATCTCAGCGGCTTTCGATACCATCGATCATGGTATCCTTCTGGGTTGTCTCTCTTGGATGGGTCTCGGGGGCATGGTTTTGTCGTGGCTCCGGTCCTTCCTGGAGGGACGAACCCAGATGGTGAAGCTGGGAGACGCCTGCTCGGACCCCTGGCCTTTGACCTGTGGGGTCCCGCAAGGCTCCATTCTGTCTCCCATGCTTTTTAACATCTACATGAAACCGCTGGGAGAGGTCATCCGGAGTTTTGGAGTTGGGTGCCATCTCTATGTGGATGACACACAACTCTACTACTCTTTTCCACCTAATTCCAAGGAGGCCTCTCGGGTGCTGGACGAGTGCCTGGCCGCTGTGTCTATCTGGATGAGGAGGAACAAGCTGAAGATCAATCCCGACAAGACAGAGGTCCTCCTGGTCGATCGTAAACCTGACCGGGGTATAGGGTGGCAACCTGTGCTGGACGGGGTTACACTCCCCCTGAAGCCACAGGTCCGCAGTTTGGGAGTCCTCTTGGATTCATCGCTTACGCTTGAGGCTCAGGCGTCGGCGGTGTCTGAGAGGGCTTTTGCACAATTGAGACTCGTGCGCCAGCTGCGACCGTACCTCACGAAGGCTGATCTGGCCGGGGTGGTCCATGCCTTGGTCACTTCTAGATTGGACTACTGTAATGCGCTCTACATGGGGCTGCCCTTGAAAACGGCTCGGAAATTCCAACTGGTCCAACGGGCAGCAGCCAGGATGTTAACTGGGGCTCCTTACAGAGAGAGGTCAACCCTCCTGTTCAAGGAGCTCCACTGGCTGCCGTTTATTTTCCGAGCCCAATTTAAGGTGCAGGTGCTTACCTACAAAGCCCTGAACGGTTTGGGACCATCCTACCTGTGTGACCGCATCTTCCTCTACGAACCCACACGTTCACTTCGTTCATCTGGAGAGGCCCTGCTCGTGATTCCGCCTGCTTGGTGGGTACTCGAGACAGGGCCTTTTCCGTGGTGGCCCCCCGACTCTGGAACACCCTCCCAAAAGATCTTAGACAGGCCCCTACATTGGCAGTCTTTAGAAAGAACTTGAAGACCTGGCTGTTCCGATGTGCCTTCCCAGATTAGGAATCTCCAATATCAAGTCCCAGAAGCACTTTAGTAGAACTAAGATTGCTGCACACCGCACATTGCACTTACCTTATAATCCTACATACCTCCTGCCACATCAGCACTTTTAATCTTGTACCCATTACTCTGGCCCGGCCCAGTTTTATAGTGTCTTGGTGTATTGTTTATTGCTTGTTGTTAATATTGCTTAACTGTTTTTAATTTGCTTTAGGTGTTGTATTGTTGTGTTGTGTTTTGAGGCCTTGGCCTATGTAAGCCACATCGAGTCCTTCGGGAGATGCTAGCGGGGTACAAATAAAGTTTTATAATCATCATCATCATCATCATCATCATCATCATACTCAGCTTCCCCCGAATCAAAATCCTGGCTACGGGCCTGCTCAAAGGAAAGCCCAGGGTTTGGGCTGGTGGTGGGGACAGAAACCTGGTAGGAAGTGGATTATATTAACCCATTTCCTCCTGGGTTTCTGACATGTCTGGAAGGCCCAAAATCTTTCCTATCTCCTTCCCTCCCTCACCATCTTGCTTCAAACCCATCTCCTGATTCACTGAGTGATACATTTTGTGAGGTTTGGTGGCATTGCAGCTCATTAATTTGAAGCCCATTGCCTAAATGCATATTGTTCTTATTTGTATTCCGAAGTTAAATTCATTTAACCAGTTTGCAGTCGTTCTCTGTGTTTATTGTGATTCATACAGTGCTGGACACTTGTCTACTTAAACTGAGATTTTCCCTAACACCACACCTACTAGTGAGTAGACATGAAGGTAAATTAGCCAACTTTACTCAACCCTTTTGGTGCTTCTCTATCAGTTGGATTTTCTGTTTTCTACACCTGTTCCTTCGCTCCTATTCTGTCTTTCTGTTGTTGTGTGCTGTTAAGTCATTTCTAACTGATGATAGTTGGAGCCTCCAGTAGCGCAGTTGGTTAAACCACAGAGCTGCTAACTTGCTTACTGAAAGGGTTGCAGGTTCGAATCCGGGGAGCAGGGTGAGCTCCCACTGTTAGCCCCAGCTTCTGCCAACCTATCAGTTCAAAAACATGCAAATGTGAGTAGATCAATAGGTACCACTCCGACTGGAAGGTAATGGTGCTCCATTCAGTCATGCTGGCCACATGATCTTGGAGGTGTCTATGGACAATGCCAGCGTTTTGGCTTTAAAATGGAGATGAACACCAACTCCCAGAGTTGGACCTGACTGAACTTAATGTCAGGGGAAAACCTTTACCTTTACTAACTTATGATGGTTAGCTATCAAGGGGTGTTCTTGATTAGATTTGTTCATAGAGGGTTTACCTTTGTTTTCCTCTGAGGATGAGATTGTGATTCAGGTACAAGGTCACCCTGATCTCCAGACTCATAGTTCAATTCTCAAACCACAACCCTATGCTGGTTCTCTGCCTTTCACCCTCCCCTTATGCAATGGATGATATATTTTGATGGATATGTTATGGATTTACTTGGGATTAAATCATACAGAAAATTAAAGTGACAAATTCCTGCTCATTATTACATTTTTCTTTTAAAAAGCATACTCATGTAAGTCACACTGTGTTAAATGAGCAAAATATGTGATACATCACCAGGTTTTGCAGGTTGTATTTCTTGATAGGTAGTGAGGAGCCATGGAGCATGTAGTGATTTAGTTCTGCAGGAAAATGTCCTTCCTGTTCTCCAAGGCCCCTTCAACACTGTCATAGAATGCAGTTTGAGACTGCATTATACAGTCAGTGTAGAGTGACTCGTATGATGCAGTTTAACTGCATTGAACTGCATTATGAGTCTATATTGACCATAGCATGCCATTTGAAACTACATCATATGGCAGTGTAGATGGGGGCAGACAGACTCAAAATATTTCCACTTAAGAATTCGTTACAATTAATGCAGTGACTGATCTCTGTGGGCAATCTCTTACTGCTACTATTACCGGAGGCGAGTGCAATTCATCACTACCTGAGAGAAGCAAGAGAGGCTGGCTCCTTTACACACTGCCCCTATATCCCAGAAAATCAAGGCAGAAAATCCCACATTATCTGAGTGTGGACTCAGATAACCCAGTTCAAAGCAGATATTGTGGGATTTTCTGCCTTGATAGATTTTGGAAGATGCCAATAACAGTCAACATAGCCTTCATTACATTCCCTGTAAATCCCTTGGACTGCTCTAGAAACCAAATTTCAAATGAATAAGTTAATTAAATGTCAACTCAACCAATTAAATGGATTGGATCATGACTAGTGGTGGTAATGAATTAATTTACCATTTCCTGATATTTAACATTCTTACATTAATTTTCAGTCTAATGTCCTAAGGTTCTGAAGGGAGATATGCATGTGATATTACATGGAACCCATTTCTTAGTTACATGTGACAAAACAATGGTGAATTCAAACCATCAAATGATCAAGTGAAATTTTAGAACAGAACTTTCCCCTGATATTCCGTCTCTATGACTACATTAGGTGTGGGTGGTGCTCCACCTCTGAGAACATAGGTGTGTGGAGTATTTCCTTCTTATGAACAGCCTACTCACGGGTTCTGCCACTACTGGCACTGGGGATTTCCTCCTTTGCCTCCCTTCCAGGTTGAGCGTGTAGATAGCCATGAGCAGCTATGAGGTGAGTTGATGGTAGAGGGCAAAAGGAGAGAAGCTTAAGGGGGTTGCTTTTGCAAGAACTTTTAATAAGCATGCCTGGGCTGTTTGGACATGTTGTCAGGGCGAGGCATGTGAAAGAGCTTCAGGTATACTGAACAGGTACTTGAAGTGATAGCACTCATGAACCGGTGAGGTAAGAAAGACTTGGAGTTTGAGTCTCTGAGAAGCTATATTCCCCGTGAACTGAAAACTATGGCTGAAAAGGAGTGAAGGAGAGGAGTAAAGGTAAGTGTTGGCCAGCAGCAATGAGAGCCACGAAGATGGCACAGCTATGTGGGTAATATCTAAAGTTTAGGGCTAGGAAGCAAAATTCCCATGAGCTTGTTCAGTTATTTAATTATATTTTATCTGCTGGGAAATGCTAATGTTGACCCACTTAACAGGAATGTGGGAAGGATTACAATACATTTTCTGGCTACTCTAAAGTTTCAGTCAAAATCCAAACACTATTCAGAAGTTTTGTTGCTGGGAATGTAAATAAGGACCACAGGCTTGAATGGGAATGATTTCTTAATCATTAGACATATTTTTCAAAGTGGTGTTTTTAAAAAATAAAATGAAACCCCTCTTCCACTAGCTACAGTTGGAGTAAATTTTAATGTCTCTGAGTTAATCTTTTTCATATGGAAAAAGATCTGAAAGTGCATTGCAGGATTTATCAAACAGGAAATCTATATTTGCCATTCAAGTAATACTTATCAACAAGGGAAGCAACCTTCTCAGCAGAGAAAACATTGGCTGCAGTAGGATAATATTAAATAATGTCCCAACTCACCTACCTTTTGGGCTCAGGCCATCTCTTTTAGTTCTTTTTCCAGTCCATCAGCTAGAATAAATCCTCTAGAATTTATATCTGTTTTGGGGAGGGAGGGGGTTGGTAAACTCTGATCCTCTATGTTGTGCAAACTAAACCAGTTAGTCTTAAATGGGATGAGAAAACTGTCTCCATCTACTTCAGCTCTGTTCTTGTTCCTTCCTGTAGAACTTCCTGTTAGCACACCTCCAGGGTTTTTTCATCAGCGAGTTTCTTAATCTGCCAATAATTCTTTGTAAAGCTTCCTGGCAGTTTGGTACTCAAAAGTGTGAAATAGAATTCAGTGGCTTGAAAGGGTCCAAACTATTCAATCACAAGTACAGGATGAGCCTTCATTATTGAGAATGCTTGGGACCAGAAGTGTTCCATATTTCAGATTCTGGAATACTTGCATAGACACAATGAAATATCTTGGAGATGAGATCAAAGTCTAAACATGAAATTCATTACACTTTATACATATAACCTGAAGCTAATTTTGAAAACAATACTTTCAATATGTTTGTACATGAGACAAAATTTGTGTACATTGTATTGTCAGAAAGCAGTCACAAGAATGGATACTTTTGCATTTGGGAGTAATTTAGATTTAATATTTCTGAATAAGGGATATTCATCCAGCCACTGTGGCAAGGAAGCACATTTGAGGTTATAATGTGTATTGGCCAGTGTAACAACAAAGCACACCTGCACATTTACATGGAACAATAGCAACCGAAAGATAACCTTTTAAATGACAGAAGCTCAAAATTGTGTCAAGGGAGCCCAAAGCCCAAAGTGAAGAGGCAGAAGTATCATTGTCTTTCTGTTACAGTACTCCTTCTTAGAGGCTCCTTCAGGAGAGTAGAAGAGGAAGAAGAGAGACTGTAATTTGGGCAGTGGAACGTGAAGAGGAAGGTGGGTCTGTGCCTGGGAAGCCTCATTTGCACCCCACATACAACTGGCATCTGCCCCCTCACTATGGAGGTTCGATTGTAAGCCTCCTTGAGTCCCCCTCAGGGTAGAGAAAGGTGGGATATAAATAAGGTAACTAATAAATAAATAAATAAATAAAAGGGCAGCTCTGGAAAAATAGCAATAGTGTGCAATAACTTGTGACCTGCATTGTTCCCTTGGGTTCTGTCTGCTTTATATAATTATATCAGTTTTGTGCCATCTTGTCTGCCATTACTATATTGAGATGATTCCAAGATTTGTAGCTTGGCAAGGCCTTAATTCTTTTTTAGGGCATTTTAGTGCCTTTTTTCCAGGGGTATAGCTATATGTGAGTGCAAATGAGAGCATTGGTCTCCCCAAAAACAAGATTTTTTCCTCTGGTTCCCAAATTTCTAGCACTGTTTAAGGTGAGACATTATAAATTGTTCACTCCTAGAAACCTCATTTGTCATGTTTGCATCCCTTTGGTAACTTTGACTTCTCCTTTTCTTTGGGCTGCTTTTGAAATATACCTCTAGTATCCTAAAAGTATATTTATGGTGAATTTTTGGGAGGAAGTGAAGGAACATTTTATTGGGGAACATAGAATTCTCATTTGGGAGTTCATTTACCCCGTGATCTGTAGCTAAACTACCAACTTTTTCCAGGATTCATTTGGATGGAGTTGTGACAATTAAAGTAGTATGAAACTGATATAATTATATAGAGCAAAATCACCAGTAATCAATAACTTATTTTGTTTAATGTAAAACACATTAGAGCAGTACAGCCTTAGCCAGAGTAGTCAATGTTACGGAATGCTGAGAGTTGCAGTTCAGTAACATCTGGAGGACTATGCAAATTTCACATCTGATTTAAGTGCTGTTGATTTATTTGCTTTTGGAAAGAACCCCAGCTTTACAGTGAAACCACAGTGCTATTAATATTTATCTGGGAAATGGAGAAAGACCAGTGATCTCTAAGATGAAATATAACAGACTACACTGTGAATTTATTTGTAGGGTTGCTGTCCTATGCACACTTGACCTGAAGCATACCCTGTGACATTCCGTGATAATTGATTAGATATATTCACAAAAGAAGTTGGGATTGGATCTAGATTCCCATGGAAGATATTATTCAACATCTCTTGGAACCTAATCAGGCAATACATGCATTGTTTGTTCCCCTCTCCATTTTACTCAGTCCACAATAAACTGATCCACAATCTGCTGAATGAAATGAAACTTTTTCAGAGAATAAATTTGCAGGAACATTCTCTGACACATGTGCTGTGGAATGGATGCTTTACAAATGGATATGTTTCTTCTTTTGTGTCCCTGTATGTGCCTTCAAGTCATCTGTTAACTTATGGTGATCACATGAATTTCTTAAGTTTTCACAGGCAAAGGATACTGAGAGATAGTTTTTGCCAATCCCTTCCACTAATATAGAATCTACAGTCATCATTGTTCATTGGCAGGCTCCCATCCAAGAATTGACCAGAACTGATTCTGGTTTAGATTTTGAAATCAGATGGGATCTGATACATTTAAGGTAGTATTTAGGCCCCTTGGGGGCACTTCTCATTTGAGTTAAACCGTTGGGTTGTTCCAGTGCGCCTTCCCAGAATAAGAAAATACCCTCAGCAATATGTCCCTAAATGCACTTTATCACTGATTTAGGATTGTCTGCATGCCCCATCTCTACCTGAAAACTCTATCCCAGTTATATCCTACCTTGTCCATGTCCAGCATTATTTTTTTAAATTTTAATTTATTTATTTATTTATTTATTTATTTATTTATTTCGGTTGCTTCTACCCCGCCCTTCTCACCCCGGGGGGATCTCAGGGTGGCTTACAAAAGCGAGGCACAATTCGATGCCCACATCACATAACAGCAAAAGTCAATAACATCAGTTAACAGAAACAGCAATTCTAGCAATAACAACAATTAACAGAAAACAATAATTATTATAGGCAAAAACAACCATAAAACCAATAAAAGCAATAAAACCAATACAAACCTCATTGACAGTCAGCGTTTCACAATCTCATAGTTCCAATTCCAATTCCACAATTGTCCTTTCAGTCCTATCCATCCGGTTATCCATATCTAATTGTCAGATTGCCCAAAGGCCTGGTCCCACAACCACGTCTTCACCTTCCTCCTGAAGGAGAGGAGGGATGTTGATGCCCTAATTTCCCCCGGGAGTGAGTTCCACAGGTGAAGGACCACCACTGAGAAGGCCCTGCTCCTCGTCCCCACCAGCCTCACTTGTGATAGTGGTGGGGTCGAGAGCAGGGCCTCCCCAGATGATCTCAAATTCCGGGGTGGGACATAGAGGGAGATACGTTCGGACAGATACACTGGACCGGAACTGTACATTTGGCCCAGCCATAGGTTTTAAATGCTTGTTGTTATTGTTACTGTCTATTGTTTACTTTTGTTTATGAGATTTATTTTAACTGTTGTATTGATTGTTTTCTTATTGTTTTTACTGTTGATGTACTTTGGGCTCGGCCTCATGTAAGCCGCACCGAGGCCCAATGGGGAGATGGTAGTGGGGTATAAATAAAGTTATTATTATTATTATTATTATTATTATTATTATTATTATTATTATTTGGGGGGTGACAGCATAATTTGGTTTGTCTTAAAATAATATAAATGGCATGGAAAGAATTTCATTTTCTTTTTCTTTTTTCTTTTAAACAGGAGTTGATTAGTATGAATAAATCCCACATCAATGGACAACCAACGATGACCGACGCAACACATCTTGCATACCTATCAGAAGAACTGATTTTTCTGAAACATCTTTTGGGAAAATGTTTAGACTGGATGGGTACTGTTGCTCTGGCTATATTTTGTATTCCTCTCTTCATAATATTTCTTCTCTACGTTTCTGCTTTATTCTTCCTAATATATCAGAAGACTCATAACCTGAAAGAAGATTATTACAGTAATATATGGGATGATGCACGATTGATTTTATCAACCATGTGGGATAAATTTGCAAGATTTTGGAATGGTAAGCTAAAGTGGAATCATATGAATTTTCAAATGTTTTACAAGGCAATCTATATTTTAGTATCAAATCAATATATATCTGTATTTACTCAAGTATAACATGCCATCAAATATAATGCACACCTCAATTTTGCAGGTGCACATTACAAAAAATGGATCTGCCCTTGAATGTGATGTGCACATCAGTGAGGCAAGCAGCATGAATGAGATCATTTGGGAAGCAATGTTCCTCCCTCAGGCTGAGGCGGGCAAACGTGCCAGCCTCTCGTGATTCCCAAATGGCAATGTACTTTAGCTTTAAAAAGGCAAGCATTAGACTGGGATAGAGTTCTTTTTGTTTGCAGTGTTCTATGTCTAAGTAGATTCTCATTCTATAGATGGTATCTGTTTTAGGATAATATTTGCCAATTTAATAAAACATGCATTTCATAAAGGACAGAAATTGGTGTATTGGCTACAGGCCTGAAAATCCTTGCTCTATGTGATTGGTTCTGTGTATGTTAAAAGTTTTCTCTTCATGATTTGGGCAATGTCAAACACATGGAGAATATTTTGAATTGTTTGTAAGTTTCTTTGGATTGTATTGTCTGCTATAAAGGAAGTAAAATTATTATATGTTGGAACTAGGTGTGTTTAGCATGGAGAAGACTGCAACATGACATGATATGCATGTGCTTTCAAGTTGCCTGTTGACTCATGCTATCCCTACAGATTTCATAGTATTAATTTGGGCAAGGAATAAGAAATGTTTTAGCAGTTCCATCCCTGAAATGTAGCCTATAGCACATAGTATTCATTGGTATCTCCCATCTGTATAAACCAGGGATGACCTTGCTTTAATGTCTAACTATCTTTTGACGTTTAAAGGAAAGATATGCAGGAGATGGAGCAAATTGTTCTTTTTCTGCTCCAGAGACTAGAACATGAATTTATGGATTTAAATTGCAAGAAAAAGATCCACCTAAACCAGTGGTTCTCAACCTGTAGGTCCCCAGGTGTTTTGGCCTACAACTCCCACAAATCCCAGCCAGTTTGCCAGCTGTTAAGATATCTGGAAGTTGAAGGCCAAAACATCTGGGGACCCACAGGTTGAGAACCACTGACCTAAATATTAGGAACATTTTACTGTTAAGAGTTGTCCAGCAGTGGAATAGATTGTCTCAGAATGTGATGAACTTTGGAAGTAATAATTGACAAGCGGAATGGGCATTTTTAAGGAGTGTTTTGGTTTTGTATTTGGTTGTATATTCTTGTTTGGCAAAGGTTTGGACTAGGTAGACTGTGAAATTTTCTGGTTTAAGATTCTATGATATTAATAAATTTAAGAACTCAAACACTGATGTAAACTGAACATCCCCCCCTCCCCCGTCCCACTTACCATCCCTGACCTGAGCAATTGCGTTACATTTAAGAGATTAATTTCAATGAATAAATAAATAGCAACTTTGTAGCATACAGTTTTTAGTGGTATACTAAAGACAAGGCAATTTCATGTATAAATGGAGATAGCGTTGTACTGCATGTAAATACATCCTAATGCAAAATGATACATGGGCACCAGTATGTACCAAAATGTGCATGCAGACGGCCCTTGCTGATATGAAAAAAAGAGCAAATATTTCCACAGAAAGTGATGCTAATTTACTATATCTATCAAAATCAAAATGGCTGCTCTTTCATACAGTGGAACTTCTTGAACTCTTGAACCTGTATGAAATTGGTGAATGGCATACAAGTGGATATCTTCATTCCTTATGTTAAATATATGATGGTGTGGGAAACAATTATTTTGGTACTGAAGTTTTAATTCCTCCCACCACCCTACAAACAATTCCTCTTTTTTAAAAAGTATGTTAATATTATAGCAAACCCTCCAAAGGTTTTCTGGTGGAATCTTTGGGACTGGATTGTGATACGATGTAGGGCGTGGGTGGGAGCAGAGGCCTCCTTCCAAAAGGCCTTGGTTTCTATATTTTGTAGTTATGTCATTTGGCTAGTTCACATAGTACAAGCATCTAATTAATATTGCAAAAATAATCTGTTGGAATGACATACTGATAAGCAATGAGTAGTTGGTTTATATTTGATCAATTGATTATGAAATTCAATTCCTGTGAGTGAGATGACATAGTGTAAGAATTCACCCAGCATATCAAGAAGTATTAATTGGATCATGAAATTCAAAGCAAGTATTAGTACTGTATACACACATGTAAACATTTAGAAATTTTGGTCAATAATTGATCATAAGAAACTGGGTTGACTTCTCCATAGTTCAATGTAACTCTTATCAAACAGTAATCATTCCTTTCTTTGAATAGAGTGTTGAAAGGAATCAATGTAGCCTTTCCTGGTAGAAACTAAAAGAAGCACTGACTCTTATTCTCCATGCCAAGGCATGGAAAAACTCTCTGTGCCTGGGTAGAAGAATTGTAGCAGCAGCTCTTCAACTCTTGCAATGGAATTAGAGTCATTTATAATGGAGGAGATAGGAAGAGGGGGACATCAAAGATAAGAGGCATAAATTAAAAAAATGTTTCCTGCACATTCATTTTGTTTAAATAATCCACTGGGTTGGATTATTATATTACAACTAGCCATCCCCTGCCATGCGTTGTTGTGGCCCAGTCTATGTATATGCGTTTTGTGTGTTTATATATGTGCATATTTGTATATATATATTTGTGTATGTGTGTGTGTGTGTGGTTTTGCTCATGCATTGTAATGTATTTTTTATATTTTTTGGCTTTTAAAGTCTCTTCTGCTGTGTTTTTCAGTGTTTTTATGAGTGATGGTCACTCGTTGGCCTGATAAGTGTATTGTGTCCAAATTTGATGTCATTTCATCCAGTGGTTTTTGAGTTATGTTCATCCCACAAACTAACATTACATTTTTATTTATATAGATACTATCCATCCCCTGCCATGCATTTCTGTAGCCCAGTCTGTGCATATGTGTTTTATGTGTGTATGTATATATGTGGTTTTGCACATGCGTTGTAATGCATTGTTTAATTTTTGGCTTTTTAAGTCTCTTCCACTGTATTTTTCAGTGTTTTTATGAGTGATGGTCACTTGTTTGCCTGATGGGTGTATTGTGTCCAAATTTGGTGTCAATTCATCCAGTGGTTTTTGAGTTATTTTAATCCCACAAACAAACATTACATTTTATTTATATAGATGTACTTCAGAGGATTTCAAGTAACCATTTGATTGTGACTGCTTACTTGTCAATGCAATGCATAATATGAAGGTTGCAAAATAAAATATAATGAATATATGACAGAAAAATGTTTATAACCATGTTTCAATTTGCGATGACCTCAATAATTTCATAATTTTTAAAGAAAAAGAATACAGAGGTGATTTTATCAGTTCTTTCCTCTAAAATGTAGCTAGCCTTGTTTTGTAATCACTGGTAGTTTCCCATCCAAGTACTAAAGATTTGACATTATTTACTCCCACTAGTTATCCCTGAGTTTAGCTCCATTCAAGCCAAGATCAGACAGGATCTGGCTTGAGTAGAGCCCTTCAAGGTACTTAGATCCTATACAGTGTTGTTAAATAGTGTAAGTAATAACACAAATTAGACCCAAGTGCAGTTTTACTTAATTTGAAGTAATCCTTTTTTGAAATTCTTAATAGGTTATGAACTACATGGAACAGAAAACCTACCAGATGGACCAGCTATACTTATTTATTATCATGGTGCAATACCTGTGGACTACCTGTACTTTTTAACCAGATACTTTCTTTTAAAACGTCGGTGTTGCTACTCAATAGCAGATGACTATCTTTTCAAATTTCCAGGTGATCTACTTTGTTAATGTAAAGGGGTCATATTTTTCAAATAGGATGGGTGATACTAAATGCCTTTACATGCTTTTTTGCCCTAAATGGAAGGAAATTTCAGAGGCAGATTTTTATGAGTTCAATTTTCTAATGGTGTAGCAATATGCTGAAGTGCTAGTGCTCATGCCTAGCCAAAGCCACACATACAAGGAGTACCCAAAAATGAAGGCTGCTGCGTTAATATCAACAAATCAATGTTACTATGTTTCACATCTACTAAGAGGAGGGTGTTTTTATAACCCTCACCCCATCTGTCGCGAAGCCTTGGGAGGAACTGTTGCTGCTGCTTACCAATGGGGAGGGAACAGAAGCAGGAGGCACTACAGTCAATAAATACGCAGTTAGTCTGGACTCAGGGCCAGACAGTACCTTTATCCCAGGAGCTTCAGCAGCAAACAGGAGGGTGGCCGGACTCTGTTCCCTCAAACCGTGGGATGAACTATACATGGCAAAAACTGCAAGATTCTCAGGTGCTAGATCATCCCGGTTCTCAGTCGAAAATCTGCATCTTGGAATGCCTGTATGTCCCTGCAATTGGAAATCATGGGATATTTTATCTAGGCTTGTTCTCAGGTTTTAGATGTTTGTTCCTGATTGGTCAGTTCCTAAAAAGAAGGTAACAGTTGAGTAGAATGTGAAAACTTGTTTGTGTGCTGGAAACTTCATGAAATGTGTGGAGGGCGCATTTTCTCTGACCAGAGCAAAGTTGTGGCCCCCAGTCAACTTTGTACATCTTTTCACAATAAGAGAAATCAGGAATATGTATATATAACCCAAAAACAACATCGTGCCTGCACAGATGGCCCTGCAGCTTATATAACCCAGGAGCAGAAATTATACAATGATTCACATCTTCACATGTTCGCATCTTAAGGCTTTTTTTTTTTTTAAAAAAAAACCTGCCGAAATTTCCAGGGGAAGTCCCACGATGACCATCTTGGGAGCCTTTAAATTCTGCAATGAAGCAGCAAGTGTGGGCGATGGAGGCAGAAATCCTGGGACCAACAGGTCTGTATGTGGACCTCTTCTGAAGTCCCAGGATTTTTTTTTGCCTCTGTGATTTGGTGCTGTTTGGAAGCACCCTCAGATGTGAAAGAATGAGGATACATTCAAGGATGGAATGCAGTTTCATTTCTCATACCTTTGGAGTCTAAGCTAGTAGTACTTTTTATTGCCTGCTATGCCTTGTCCCTAAAGCTTCTCCCAACCAGTGAGCAGCAGCAGTTCCAACAGACATTCCTGAGGCTTCACAGATGGGGGGAGGACTTGGGCAGGATCCAAGAGGCCAGGGAATAGTTCCCTACATCCCATCCCCCAAAAGGTATGTGAATCTATCACTAATAAGATCATACTGTATAGCTCCCTGGAATGACTAAAGCATATTGTCATGTGAACTATTCCAAAACATATGGGTACACTTGGAGTTTCATTTATGGGCCACTAATTTCCATAGAAAATATAGTGGAAGTATCCTAAACCTGCATATATTTGTAATCAACCAAGTGTTTGATTTTGCTTTGCTGTGATTTACATTGTTTTGGAATCTAAAGAGGATTGGGGTTTCATATTGAGCCTTTCCTTTACTCCCTCTTTACTGACTTGTGATCCTAGAGTAGCTTTCTCCAGCCTGTTTTCCAGACCTATGTATAAGGACTTCATGACTATATATTTCACCCCTTGACAATAATACAATATATGAGGAAGGATACTGTGTTCAAGGAAATTTTCCAGCTTTATATAGATCAGGGCAGTGCTTCTCAGACTACCTGGGATGGCAGACCAAAAGATTATTTCATTTGCCTCAACATGGGAAATACCACTAACATATTTGTGGCCACTGGCTACAAATATTTCTTTCTTTTTAAAATATACATGCTACAGACTGACAGTTGTTGACTGCAGACCACCTCAATATAGGCCAACTTCCTTCAATTCAGAATATATACGTTTGATGAATTTTTAATATCATAATATTAATGTATTTTCCTGGAAAAATATTAAGGATACATTTTAAGGGAAAATGACATTTAAATGCAGGTGTGGTTTTATTACCGTTTACTGTTGGAACTTATACAATACTTGTTTTTACAGGCATTAAATCTTTAGCAAGCGTGATGCGCATTTTGCCTTGCTCAAAGGAAGAATGTTTAAATATTCTAAAAAATGGCCATCTACTGGGAATTTCTCCAGGAGGAGTTCGAGAAGCACTCTTTAGTGATGAATCTTACAAACTTGTATGGCATAAACGTAAAGGTTTTGCTCATCTGGCTTTAGATGCTAAAGTGGTAAGTATTATGCTTACATTATTTTTCATCCAACTATATTAGAATACCATGTTTTATTTAAAAGTGGAGAAATACAAGTAAAACATGTTTTTACATATACATCACTTTTTCCTTTCTGTAAGTCATTTGTTCATATTCCTAACCCTCAGATTAAATAATGTGCCTGTGTTAATCCTGAGACTTCATGTTACCATACAGCTGGAAAAGGGAGAGTATAATTGAAAGCTGAAAAGAAGAAAGCCAGGGTTATGATAATGTTTAGTGGACATTGCCTGCCCTTACTTTAATCAGTGCTTTGGTTCATATGAGATAATATACCAGGAGCCCCTGGTGGAGGTAAAGGTAAAGGTAGTCCCCTGACATTAAGTCCAGTCATGTCTGACTCTGGGGTGTGGTGCTCATCTCCATTTCTAAGCCGAAGAGACAGCGTTGTCCATAGACACCTCCAAGGTCATGTGGCCGGCATGACTGCATGGAGCGCCGTTACCAGTGGGTTAAAACCTTGTGCCGGCAGGAATGAAGACCAACAGGTCGCAGGTTTAAATCTGGGAGAGCACGGATGAGCTCCCTCTGTCAGTTCCAACTCCCCATGCGAGAGCATGAGAGAAGCCTCCCACAAGGATGGTAAAACATCAAAAACATCATCTGGGCATCCCTTGGGCAATGTCCTTACAGACAGCCAATTCTCTCACACCAGAAGTTCAAGTTGCTCCTGACACACAAAAAAAGTATACAAAAAAAAACCATAAGCATAAGAGCTTGGAACAATAGGTTTTAAAATTATATTGATAATGTTAAGTGTAAGAACCTGTAAAATGGATTTACTAGAATAAACACTTATATTTGAGATAATTTCATTAGTTAGGTTACCATTAATTATCTGCTTGACACTAGTGTGGGGCCATTTGTGTGAACTATTGCTCAGTTTGGAAGGTACCATGCCAACATAGTGAACAAGGAAGACTAAACCAAAATAAAATAAAATTGAAGGAATGGAAGAAAAATACAGTTAGGTGACAACATGCAATATCAAAGCAAATAATGTAATTATGTAATACTGGCATGCAGTCAAGAAAAATATATAGACACAAATAAAGGAGTGTAAAATAACAAAATAGTCTTCTAAGGCATATTCCAGCCTCACACTCTTAAATGAAAAGTCTTATACAGATGCTATTAAAATACTAAAGACTAGTTATGATATGCTAAAGCGTAAAGAGCCACATTTAATGTGTCTATTAACAGACTACCACAAGAATACAATACTCTATAAAGATTGACAAAGAAAACCTATAAATTGGCTTAGTCTAAGGCAGTTCTAATAGCTACATTATCTTTATAAGAATCCTATATAATGTATGTAGGACTGTAACCAAGCATTCTTAAAATATAACACACGTCTACCAGTTTCAAAGTATAAAGCGATGGTTCCCAACATTTTTTTTTACCAGGGACCACTTGACCAGGGGCCACTTTGACCAGGGACCACTCTCCAACATTAGTACCAAAAGGTTTACAAATCCATTTTTGGTCAACTTTAGATTCGGTTTGGAGTGTTGATTCAGAAAATTGCATTGGATAGACCACATTTAGCTTTTGATACAGATATATGCCATGGTCAGCAACAGGGAAGGAGTGGCAGGTGGTGTGAAAGGAGCAGAAATAATAGAAATAAAATAAATAAAGAGGAAGATGGCTCGCAGACCAGATTTTTGTCCTTGCAGCCCACTGGTGGTCCACGACCCACAGGTTAAGAACCACTGGTATAAAGCAATGCTACTCAGGCCCCTTCTACACTGTCATATAAAATCCTGATTATCTACTTTGAACTGGATTATCTGGCAGTGTAGACTCATATAATCCAGTTCAAAGCATATAATGTGGATTATCTGATTTGATAATCTGGATTATATGGTAGTGTAAAGGGGCCTCAGAATATCTATCTGTAGTGGGTTTCCAGGAAAGAAAGAAACCATTGCCAGCAATGGCCGCACATATAGCACTAGTCCCTGGCAGATTTGATGAAAAACCCTGTTGATCCCCCTGGTCAGATATCTTAGTGGTCCTAATGCACCTCAGCCACAAAGGCTAAAAACATCTCATTCCCTTTTTCTCTCACACACATACGCACTCTTCTTAACAAAAGAAATCTCTGAATAAAATATATGTTGATGGAAATCAAAGGAAAAAACTTATGCATATCAGAAGAAAAAGAAAAGTTAAAAATGAAGCCCAGACATTTTCTCTAATTTGCTTAAATGCCTTTTCTGATAAAAGAAAGTTCAGGAGATCCTATTGTTAGTCTTGCCTAGAATAGAGCCATTGTTTCAGTTGGGTTTACCTGTATGTTGATTCCCTGTTCAACAGTCAATCAAACAGATCTACTCTAGTCAGGAGTAACCATACCAACAGTGGATTGTTGTAGGTTTTTCAAGCTGTATGGCCATGTTCTAGAAGCATACTCTCCTGATGTTTCGCCTTTCACCTTCATCTGTGGGCATCCTCAGAGGTTGTGAAGTCTCACAACCTCTGAGGATGTCTGCCACAGATGCAGGTGAAACAGCAGGAGTGAATGCTTCTAGAACATGGCCATACAGCCTGAAAAATCTACAACAACCCAGTGATTTCGGCCATGAAAGCCTTCGACAATACATACCAATAGTATCCCAGCTAAACTACAAAAACAAGATATAAGCTGTCCTTAATACAAAACAAACACTAATCCAGATTGGATTACTGCAATGCACTCTACGTGGGGCTGCCCTTGAAGACGGCCCAGAAATTTCAGTAGGTCCAACGGGCAGCACCCAGGTTATTAACTGGAGCGGCTTACAGGGAGCTGTCTACCCCCCCCTGTTTAAGGAGGTCCATTGGCTACCGTTCATCTTCCAGTCCCAATTCAATGTGCAGGTTCTTATCTACAAAGCTCTGAACAGTTTGGGACCCACCTACCTGCGTACCACATTTCTCTTTACGAACCCATGTGATCTCTTCATTCATCTGGCGAGGCCCTGTTCTCGCTCCTGCTCCCTTCGCAGCGCGATTGGTGGGGACGAGGGAGAGGGCCTTCTCTATGGTGGCCCCCCAACTCTGGAACTCTCTACCTAAAGATATCAGGCAAGCCCCCACTTTGGCAGTCTTTAGGAGGAGCTTGAAAATGTGGCTGTTCAAGTGTGCCTTCCCTGAATGAAGGAAATAATGCCCAATATGAGCAATTTCCTTCTATATGTCCTCTGAAGCACTTTATCTATCCGTTGGATTGATCCTCCGATATCACTTTTGAAAACCCCCATGCCTAGACATACCCTACTCTGTACACGCCCAGGGTTTTAAAATTTTAATCTACATCTGGCCTAGCCATAATGTTTTTAAATCTTTTGTGTGTTATTGCTTATATGTTCAATTGTATTATTTATATTGTTTTATTTGCTTGCTTGTTTGTTGATGCATTAATGTATTTTTATTTTATGGGCTTGGCCTCATGTATGCCGCTCCGAGTCCCTTCAGGGAGATGGTGGCAGGGTATAAATAAATTATTATTATTATTATTATTATTATTATTATTATTATGAGCCCCAGTGGCACAATGGGTTAAACTCTTGCACCGGCAGGACTGCTGACTGGTAGGTCAGCGGTTTGAATCTGGGGAGAGTGGGTTGAGCTCCCTGTGTCAGCTCCAGCTCTCCATGTGGTGACATGAGAGAAACCTCCCGCAAGGATGGTAAAACATCAAAACATCCAAGTGTCCCCTGGGCAACATCCTTGTAGACAGCCAATTCTCTTAACACCAGTTAAGTCACTCCTGACATGAAAAAGAAAGCCCTAAAAGCCAATGAAAATGAACAGAAATGAAAGATTTTAAAATAAACATGGCATTGAAATTAAAGATCCACACCCCTTCTGTTTTGGTTCCATTCTGGCTTTGAAGCTAAAAAAATAATATAATGAAATGCAACTATAAATTAAAACTTTTAAAAATAACTTGGTTATTTCCTTCTCTCTCTATTACTACATAGTTTAATAAAGGCAATTTATATTGTGTGTGTGTCAGGAGCAATTTGAGAAAGTGCAAGTTGCTTCTGGTGTGAGAGAATTGGCCATCCGCAAGGACATTGCCCAGGAGACACTAGGATGTTTGATGTTTTACTATCTTTGTGGGAGGCTTCTCCCACAAAGCTAGAACTCGACAGATAGTAGCTTATCCCATATATATGGTAATAGATTTTTTTCACTTCTATCCTCCCCCTCCCCCAATGAGAATATGTCCAAAAATGTGTTCTGTTTACACTCTAAGGTGGGCATTTGATTTTAAGAGATGATCATAATTCACAGTCCACACTATTCTGAAGCACCTTCTAATGATCCCATGGAAGTTTTCACAGGACAAATAGGATTGAATGGAAAGGAAGGAAAATGATCAGATGTCACTTTTCCCATTCAGATAATGTAAAACCTATGCTGAGTTAACAACATTCAAAACACTAAAAGACTTGTATTTGCAAAATAAAAACTTTGTGGATACCAAAAAGGATTCATTCCCAAGTCCCTACTGAAAATGACATATAGCCACAATGGATGTGGCAGCAAACCTTGACTGAATGGTACGCTGTGCTGTATTGGCTCTCCTGCCGCTAAGGAGCATGTCAGTAACCTATTTCTGCCGTTGAGTTAAAAGGCAGAAGTGATTGGGTGGCAGGCTCCTCAGAAGTGGGAGAACCCAAAAAATGTTGTGTGTCAGGTTGATAGGGTTTGCTGCCAACTCCACTATTGCTCTATGGCATGTGTGATAGGGTCTTATAAACCTCACTTCATGAAGCTTGCAGAGAAACTGCAAATGCAAGGAGAGGCTTATAAGCCCCTATTTAAAACATTGTAGGACAACATATGCATTAGCAAAACACTGCCAACCATATGCTTTAGTCTTGCAAAGAAACTATTGCTTAAAAGGCAGAAGTGGTCCCCTGATGTGTCCCCAACCACACATGCAAAGTTATGGTTGTTGAATCCATTGAGCATGAGCCCAAAGATACTGGGAGTGGGGCACTATAGTCTTTTTGAACCATATAGTTTTCAAACACTTTCCTGCATTAGGTTTAAATTAGACTTGAACTAGTCAAGTGTTGAAACTAGCATACACAGCCCCTCTAATATAGTCAAGGATACTTCTACCATTTTAAAATTGAACTAACATAAGTTTCCCCTTTCTGTCAAATTTAGCATTTAAAATATAATTAAGGCTGGCTCTACATCGCCCTATATCCAAGGATCTAATCCCAGATTTTCTGCTTATCTTAGATTAGATGGCAGTGTAGACTCATATAATCCTGTTCAAATCAAATCATCTGGGATCAGATCCTGGGATATAGAGCACCGTTGATCCCACCTATGATATTGGCTATCCAGTGTCTCAATTGTTTCCCTTTAAGAGGGGTTTAATAAAGCAAAGTGGATAACGTGATGTGATCACATGATTATAGGTTTCCATAATCTGTTGTTGGCTTCATTGCCTAAACTTTCAGGATGAGAAAATTCTCAACATGATATTATGTTATACACTTCGACGTTCAAGACATTGCCATAAGGAAGAGAGATACAGGACAGAGGGGAACATCAGACAATTACCCTGTTGTGAGCAATTTATGTGAGTCTGCTCTTAGTACTAGAGAAGGGAGTTGCAAAGCAGAAAGGAAAAGAAAGGGGAAAAATTTTATTTGGATGAGCAAGAGTAAAATAAGACTCTGATATTTAAAAATGTAGCCCAACAGAGTGACATCAGGATGAATCAAACTTAATTGTTCTATAATATATGAGAATTCATTTTTACATGTCTTTTGAAGAATTGTGATTTAAACAACTTAAAGTGTCAGGATATCATCTCCCTAAGAGACCAGATATCTCATACTAAGATCAGGGACTGGTAAAACTAGAACTAGTAAAACAGGCTTTGCATGCATGATTGGGCACGAAATGTCAACACTTCATTTAGGAAGAAGTTTCTGTCTTTCTGGGAGCCTTCTGGGAGCTCATTAGCATTTTTACTATAGATCAAACAACTCCTCGGGAATCAGTTGCTCTTCTTTGACTTGGACTTGTGTGAAATCTGACTGCCTGGAATTAGTATCAAAGAAAATCTTAAATGAAAAGAAATAGCTTATTAAGAAAATTATATGTCTTCACGTGACATGTAAATTACATGATTGGGAAGACTGTTGCTAGCGGCTATTGCTACATTATTAAGACAAAGACAGGGATGAACAGAAAAGAAGTTGGGTCTGAGACTATCAGTTTATATACCCAATGAAGCATCAGAGAGGGATAGGCACAGGAATTCTACCTGTCTCTGTCTGTGTCGCCCTCTTTAGGCATGTAGTAGCATGTTGGGATTGAAAGGATATTAAAAATGGTCAGAATACAAGTTTTGGGGGTGTTGAGAAATGCTCTCTGTATATATTTCACATTTCAACATTTCAGTGTCAAAAATACGTAGTATGATTTCACATAGAAGTTTTGCTATTAGAAGAATCCTGTTGTGAATCTTTGCAGCTGAGGACTTATTCTGCACAAAATTCACAGATGGGTATTTTAACAAAGAAAACAGTATTTTCTACATAAAAAATAATATTTCAAGGCATAAATATGAACTCCTGAACAGAAAATGCGTTTTCATGAAGAAATGCTATATATCCACTGCAGAAAATAGTATTTTCTGTGCAAAAAATTCCATAATCAGGGAATTTATTCTACACAAAAATGCACACCAGTGATTTGCACAGAAAACAGAATTTTCTATGCAGAAAGTAACATTCCTGCTTTGAAATAATGTTTTCCATGCAGAAAATGCTGTTTTCTTTGCAACAAAATCAAACAAAACCCACACACATGCAAATTTGGTGCAGAATTACTTGAGATTGTAAAATAGCCTTTAGAACTGTGTGATTTCTTAAAACATTCTTGCAGTTGGAAGAAAACAGGAATGGGAAGAAAAATGTTACCACCCCAAAAAGAAAGTTAGAGAAGAGTTACATTTGTAGACTTGAGTAAGCATGGTTTCAGTCTTCTCTATTTCCAAAAATGGTGTACATAAAGCCTGTTTATCTGGGGCCACATATAGACACAGGGCAAATCTACATGAGCAATTTACTATTAACCAATCTTGAGTGGCATTACAGCCCCAGGGGTGACTACTCTGCATGCCTAAGTCTTACTGCAGTCATAGGACAGAACCACACCATCCGGTGGGAGAGGAGGTGGAAAAGAAGGAAGGTAATACTCATCTCCTCTCTGTGAGTGCTTTGGCTTACAGATGCAAAGGTGCACATGGATGATGAGGAGCTCTTTGGAGTTCTGTGGACACAACTATGGTAATAAAAACATGATAAAATGCTAAGCTGCAGTGTATGATGTAAACAGGATAGCAGCCATGACTCATATGAGCAGCGGGGCGAATTCCAAATCAGAACCATTCCGTTGTTAACATTACCTCTAAGTGTGAGGCTTAAGTGAAACTCAGGAATATCCACTAACCTTTTCAAATGTGGGATACAATCACATTAAGTGGCTATGCCCTGCTTTGGGGGTGAGATGGCTCCATATATCAGGTAAAAAGCACAAAGCTGATTCTCACAACTTTGAGGCATGGTGCCCATGTAAACGTGCTCCTAATCTCTTTAATGCCAGTTAACATAACATGTTTTCATTTTCAACGTGTGCTATGATTAGGAACATCTAACGAATGCTTCTAAAAATGAGAGTTTAGTTGACTGTTTCATTACTATTTGTTCCATTAGTCTGCATTGTGTATAAAACTATATGTTCAGGTACCTTGTTAAGAGTAGGATTCAACATCTCAAACCCCTCCCCCATACAAGGTTAAAACCCTGATTTTGTGATTGGTCTCTTGCACATGATCATCACATTATACTTCTCTTTAATTTCATTTTCTGCTTCTTGTAGCACATCTGCAAAAGTGATAAGCAGGGAAGGAGAACATTAGCACTCTTTGTTATCAACGTAAGGTATTGAAAGGACACAGGGAAGTTCTCTTTGCCTGTCATAACTTGAAAAGGTCTTCTTAGATGCATGCTTGAGTTAGAACAGGAAAAACCTTTGCTGGGGCCAAGACACATTGTAAGAGTAGTTTGGTGGGATGGGTGGAAAGTTGCAGCACTTTTTTTGGTAGCATATAAGATATATAAGATTATTATAGTTAATATGGTCAAATCAGTCATTTCTAGTTGCTATGTGTTCATCATGTGATCATTTATAAGGTCCATATTATCATGTAAAAATTGCTTTAAAATATATAGTGATTTCCAATTAAACATATTACTTGAAGGTAACTAAAAACTGTCCTTGAATTCCCCTCTCTCTTTTCATTTTTGTGAAGGTAAGTCTATCTGAAATGACTAGAAAGCTTGTCTTACCTTCAAAACATAAGAAAATGCCCCTACATCCAATGGGACTTGATGCTTCAAACCGCTCAGGAACATACTGTATAGAAATGAAACTGGTTGCTTTATTCAAAGCTAAACAATGTGCATGTTATGAATGATAAAAAAATACATTTAAAACCATTATTTCTTTTATTCTTCCTTAGCCCATCATTCCAATGTATACACAAAATGTACGGGAAGGATATAGGGTCTTTGGGCGAACAAGTAAGCCATACTTTTGTTATATAATTTACATAATTGAATATGAAATTGGAAAAAATGTGTTCTCCAGTCTGCAACTCTGTTTCTGACATAGTTCTTTCTTGCATATATAATGTCACCTTGCTCAGTGAAGAAAGTGGGAAAGCTTTTGTGTGAGTATTAGTAGGAGGAAGAGACTTCCATGCAAGCTAAGAGAGACACTAGACATCTGAAACTTTTAATATGTGGTGTTAGTTTGGAGATCTAATTTCAACTAACTAGCTTTAAAATCATTCCTTATCCTGAGATTGAGAAAAATGACGTGTCTGGATAGGACTATCTGTTTGATGCAAAATCAAATATCTAAAATACCAAGGAAGGCTGTCAGGCTTTTCAGACTGCTTTCGCCTTCCTAAATGGTTATATTATAGCTTGTGGTCAAGTTCACCAAAAGATTGTGGTAATACTGGTGAACAAATTTTACCTTCTCAATGTTAGTTCCAAGGGATTTTGAAAAAAAAGGAAAAAATTCACAGGAAGGAGAAGGAAAGTGTACTTCATAGAATTCATAGAGAGGGGCCTTCTCCGTGGTTGCTCCTTCTCTCTGGAACTCTCTCCCCGTCAAAGTTAGAGCAGCCTCCTCCCTCCCCTCCTTCAAAAACACTTAAAAGTTTATCTATGCTCCATAGCTTATGGAGAGGTTAATGAGAAATGAAACCCCCTCTTTCCTCTTTCCTGACTGATGTCCTGTCAAGGGTTTACACATTTGTAGAGCCACTTTTATATTTATATTTCTAGATTCTATACTTAAACAGTACTTATTGTTATTGCATTTTATGAGGTCTGATCATTTATCCTCCCCATAGAGTATATTTTATATGCGCTTTAACTATGATTCATTTGTTATTTTATTGTGCTGTGTTTTATGATTGTATATGGTACTGAATATTTGCCTTTGTATTTGGAAGCTGCCCCCAGTCCCTTCGGAGAGAGGGGGTGGATTAGGACTGTGTGATTTTATATACATTCATACATATATATTACAACTACGGTTAACAAATAATGTTTAGATTGAAATAATTTATTTAACAGAAATTGCCTACATTTTACAGTACTAAAGTTGACATCTTGTTTGAGACTTGCCCTTTGCTTTTATTGATATAGCATTAGCAAGGTGGGTATATGAACATAGTCGACTGCCTATCCTTCCTCCATATGGTGGATTACCAGTCAAATTTCGTACATATATTGGAGAACCCATTCCATATGATCCAAATAATACTGCTGCAGAATTAGCTGCTAAGGTAGGCTTTTTTATCAATTAATAAAATAAAACATCTTCAATGTCCACTTATAAAATGATTTTGTAATTGAATTCTGTAAAAGAAAAATGAGTTATCTTGGTTTTATTGTTGGTTTTAAATGACTTATTACTCAAACTACCTTTGAAAAGAAAAAAATCAGTCTGCGTATTTTCTAAAAGCACCTAGAATTCGATATGGTCATGCTTGATATTATAGTACAATATTTGGCCATATGGAAGTTGAAATCTGATACAGTCAGTTTTCTGTATACATGGGTTTTGCATCCATGGATTCAACCAATCATAGCTTGAAAAAAACTCAGAAAAAATATTCAGTGTTCATTTGAGTTGTTCATTACTTAATATAATGGGCAGCATTTTATTATACCACTCTATATATTAGAACTTGAACATCTATAGATGCTGGTATCCATAGGGAGTCCTGGAACCAACCCAGACAGATACCAAGGGCACACTTCTTTGTAGACATAAGAGATCTTAAAAGCCTTCGACAATACAAGATCTTGAATATGTTCACATGTTTGTAAAGCTAAAATATGTTAGTGAAGTATATAAAGTTCACAATCTAACAGTGAAACCAGTCAATGCCCTATATTCTATAGTACCATTTCAAGGAAGTAAAGAAACATGTATATTTAATATATTATGTTTAACAGTATTACCAGTGTTAAACCTAATGTTTATTTTTCCATTGATATAAACATTATGGGAACATGAAACTTACATTAATCCATCAGAAACCTTGCAAGTTTTAGATCAGGCCATATGTTTGCTCATTTTATGAATAATGGTAAGATGATAAACTCTGTGTAGAGATAACTGTATGAAATGTCAATAGGAATTTTGCCTCTGCTCACCATTTCTTCCTGGATGTACTGTATCCTCCCCAGCTGCACCTCATGTCTTAAAATGCTTTCCTTGTTAAAATCTATAATTTGGGAAATTATAGCCTTATACTATATAGAACCTTGCAATGCTCTCATTTCCTTGTGTGCTCACATCTTCTGAAATAATTGAAAATAAACTATCCATATTTGGAAAATCAAGAATCCAAATGACGCAGGAAAGAGTAAAGTAAGCTGTTTTAATGTGTGCAAACTTCCAGGTCTCGGAAGCTCATTGAGATAGTAGTTAAAAGCTTAGAATGAGAAAGTGATTCTGATTACAGAAAATGCTGTGGTGGTAGCATGTTCTTACTGTTTTTAAAATAACTTTTCATATTATCTTGTGTAATGATTTTTATGTGGCTGTTCTTATACACAGATATTAAGCTTTATGGTGATTTACTTTTGCAGATTTTGTCGTCTTATTTATTAGTACTCACAGGCATTTTATTTTCTCTCAGAGACTTGAAACTGTTTGAGATATAAACGTTTCACTTTCATTTAGTTGATTCTTTCTCATATTCATGGAATGGTACTAATAAATGCTTGATTTTCTTCTTTCCCTTTAATGTCTAGACAAAGGCTGCACTTCAGTCATTAATTCGAAAGCACCAACAAATTCCTGGGAACATGTTTAAAGCACTTATGGACAGATTTCACAATGAAAAAGAAAAGGACTGAATTGGATTTTTACTACCATTATGTATTGTTTTATTTTTAATTCCAGGAAAAGATAGAGATGCTTAGGAAAAATTCTACCTCAAGTGTCAAAGCACTTTGACCAGCATGGGATATTCATCATATGCCTGGAAGTGGGGACTGGCATTGGCTGCTCTGATTTAGGCTGAAAAAACATTTGTCCTATTACATTACATTAAATTATATTGTAAATTATGAAAAGTTTCTCTTGGTCAAGAGATATGTTGATAGGCAAAATATTCCTACAAAGTGTTTTCAAAAAATTATTTTTAAAATACATGATTGGGTAGTATTTTCATTAGAATTCACTAAATTCATATTCTAGTTCTGCAAACCTCCCAAAGTCTAATGTGCATGAAAATGATAGGCTGGAAGCATTGAACTGGGAATTCAATTTAACAAACTCATGTTTTGAAGGGGGTAGTTGTGTTAATATTGCACGCTATCCACCAAATATTCAAAGTAAGCACATTAGGTGTTGTTTGTTTTTACCACTATGGCTGAGCCTTGAAATAATGTGGATAGTAGAAACACATCAGAGACAGAAAGTACAATGTGAGAGTGTCAGACTTGGCTCAGGGAGATCCACATTCAAATTTCTGCATGGTTATGTTATTGAATTGATTTTGGTCAGTCGTGTGCAGGGTGGTGATAGAGAAAAATTAAGAGCGGAAAGTGGTTATGCACATTGCTTGTGTCATAAGGTTGAATACCCTTTATCCAGAAATCCAAAATTGGAAATGCTTCAAAATTCAGAATCATCTACATGGTGGACTGAGATAGAAACATTTGCTTTCTGAATATTTAATGCACAAATGTTGTTCCATGCATAAAGTTATTAATAATATTGTATAAAGTGTTTATGAAACATAATTAATATCATGTTTAGACTTGGGCCCCATCTCCAAAATATATCTTTATGTATATATTTGCAAAAAAACAAAAACAAAACCCAAATCCAAAACACTCCTGTTTCCAAGCATTTCAGATAAGAAATACTCAACATGTACAAATAAATGATATTTCATAATAACCTTCTGTTTTACACAGAGAGACTCTGGTAATATTTTTCCCATGTCACTCTAGTTTCCTGCCATTACATTTTACATGACAAAGAACTAGATATTTATGAGCATATCACAAGAAGCCAACACGAGTGAGACACTGTCATTTGAGTCACTGGAAAAATGTTGCAGGGAAATGAAGGCAAACTGTGGAAATTTAGGTTAGGTGAGGAAGATACAATTTCCTTCAGAAAAATATACTATTAAATACCGTAATCTACTTTTAACTGTCATTATCTGTTTTTAGAGATACGTGTTTTATCAGCTTATCTGTGTCAGGGTATCTGTGCTGCCACATAGTTTACTAATGATATGGATTAAGGTGAAGATCAGGGTGTACTGTGTAATCTGTCTATTCTCTCTCGCCCCACTGATGACATCCTCCTACATAAGCACACTTATAATAACAATCTACCAAATGAAGCAACATGTTATGAATCTGTTGAAGTAAACTACAGTCCAAAAACATTGATTTGTCTGTAAGATGCTTCAAGATTCTAAATGTTTGTTGCAGAAGTAGACTACCATTGATATCACCTAAAACTGTGAAATATGTTCCTTCATACAAGATCTATACATATTTTATGTGTGTGTTGGGGGGGGGGGGATGTATCTGAAAGCTAATGCTCATCCAGTCTACCAGAGCTCATCCACCATAACTGCTCTCTGTCATTTCTACAGAGAAATCTCCTTCGCATATTTATTTAAGCATAAGATATAAGACATATGTCCAGGGATGTAGCTAAAACTCCAGCTCAGTATTTAGAAATGCAGTTTAGGCAACCAAGAAAAGGGGAGAAATTCTACAAAAGAATGGGGGGTAATGTCTTCATTTCTAGCTCACTCTCAGCAACACTCCTTTATTTCCTTTTCCTATTATGCTGTTGTGGTACTATATTCCACCTTAAATGACATAGCTGCATCCACTGGAATTCTGGAATTTGTAGATTAGCATGGCCTAAAACTATGGTTGCGGATTCAAAATACCATTTCCTAAACTGCAAATCCCAGGAATTCAGAAGACATTGCAGTTAAAGTGGAACAGAGCACTATAATAGTATAATGTGGTAAGGAAATATGTAAATAGCTCAAAGAGCCACTCATAAAACAGGCAAAGGTAGCCCTTTCAAAAGCAGGCTATGTTAGAACACAAAACAATGTGTTGTCCAAGGCTTTCATGGCTGGAATAATTGGGTTGCTGTGAGTTTTCTGGGCTGCATAGCCAGGTTCCAGAGGAATTATCTCCTGACATTTCATTCACATCTATGGCAGGCATCCTCAGAGGTTGTGAAGTCTATTGGAAACATATAAACCTCATAACCTCAGAGGATGCCTGCCATAGATGTGGGCGAAATGTCAGGAGATAATGCCTCTGGAATATGTCCATACAGCCCAGAAAACTCACAGCAACCGAACAAAAAACAGTTTGGCAGAATAGCGACTAGCTACATATGTTTCTTCATCCTGAATTTGTACAGGAATTTGTACCTCCCCTCTCCTAGTTAAGGATAACATAAAATAATATACATATAAAAAGCAGTGATGAACCAGAATTGGAATGAAATGATGAAGGTTGAATTTGTAAGTGTATCAAATCCTGGATATCTGACGTGGAACAATGGATGTGGCTATCTTATGAGATGTATAACTTGTGCTCCATTTGTGTTATATTTTATTTATAAATAGATTCAAATATTTCAAAATGTAAAGTGACTTCCTATGAAAGTAAGTAACCCTGATTAATGCCTCTCACCACTCATGACAATGTGGAACACATAACTAAAATATTTCAGCCTAGTGACATATTGCAGATAGCGTCAATCTGATGAACATGATTAAACAGATTGGCCATGAGGTCTCGTCATCACTTCTGTTGAAAGAGCACATGCTCAATACACACACTGTATTGTCTTAAATTAGCACAGCAAATCCAGAAAAATTATGAGCATCAGTTATGGTGTCTTTCTGATTTATGGTATATTTTGCTGGGAAGTGACATCTTTACTAAGAGAAGCTACTACCACCCATCTTTGTTGGTCTTCCAAAGGGTTCCAAGGAATTTCCTCTTTTAGAGGGCACGCAGTTTGCCAGAATGTGAGTAGCTGAATGTGTTAAACTTCAGAATTTACCCAAGCTTTGTGTCAAATTACGGTAAATGCCAATCGCAAGTAGCATGAACTGACTGAAAACAATGAAACTTCCAGAAGTGGTGGTTAAAAGGTCCCTTTAAAATGTAAAATAAGTTGATATTTTAATTTTAACAGCAGCTCAAGATTATCTGCAAGACCCTGGGTGCATCTGCATTGTAGAATGAATGCAGTTTGACACCACTTTAACTGTCATGGCTCACTGTTATGGAATCATAGGAATTGTAGTTTTACAATGGCTTTGATCTATACTGCCACATAACATGCACCTTAAAACTGCATTATATGGTCAGTGTATACCTATACAATATAGTTTAACTGCATTGAACTGCATTTGTATGAGTCTAACTAACACATTATATGGCAATGCAGATCCAGCCAATATCTTTAGCTTCTTTGACAAATAGTGCTGGTGCCTTTCCAAATTATAACTCCTATAATGTCATAGGAGTTAAAGTGGTCTCAAAAGGCATTCACTCTAATTTATTTTCATCCTGTCTTTTTCAAGAGACCCAAAGTAGCTAAAATCAATATAAAACAATGCTATTTTAAAAAATGAATACAATGAAATATAAATGTAATAATTAAAAACTAAACCAATTATGTCACTGAAAGCATTATACATTAAAATGCATTTGAATTCTACATGCAGATTCTAGATCAGTGGTTCCTAACCTTTGGTCCTCCAGGTGTTTTGGACTTCAATTCCCAGAAATCCCAGCCAGCTTACCAGCTGTTAGGAATTGTGGGAGCTGAAGTCCAAAACATCTGGAGGACCAAAGGTTCTCTGAAGCTATATTGGGGATTGATTGCACCTTTCTTGCATGGCAGGGGGTTGGACTAGATGGCCAAGGTGGTCACATCCAACCTGGATCACTGTAGGATACAAGATACAGTGATCCAGGAAGGAGCAGGCATTCTAACCAGTATCACTTTGAGACAACTCAAGGTGTGTGTAGTTGTACAAACAATCCTCATGGAAACCAAGAGAACATGTTCTGTAACAAACGTGAATGGCTATAATGATCTATAATGGTCTGTAACAAACGTGAATGGCTATAATGGTCTAAAACAAAACCACATTTGGCCACAATGGTCTAAAGCAATACTACATTTAAGCAATATCCACTAAAAGGAGAATGCTGTCATGTTGCTGCTGCTGTTATTCTTCTTGTTATTGCTGTATGCCTTCATTTTAGAATTATGACCCTAAAACGATCTCATCATTGGGTTTTCTTGGCAAGATTTGTTAAAAGGAGGATCGCTTTTGTCTTCTCCTGTCCAATGTTCAAAGTACAACACCACATTCTGCTGAGGATGGAAAAGCATGACTTACCACCTCATTCCATTGAGAGCATGGGTGATCAGCCCTTTAAAATTGGAGAATCACCCCTCTTATATCTTCAGCAGTCCTGTTTTGAGTTCTACCTCCCCATCACACCAACATGTGGAACCTTAGGAGCTGGCACTACATTTATCTTTTACATTCATCACAAGACCAGTATTAATTCTTTTAAAATCAGGAGAACCAACAATATGCAAAAACTAAGAGATTCCTTGCCCTGCACTTTACACTAAAGGAGACTAAAGGTAATGGTTGTCTCCTGACATTAAGTCCAGTCATGTCTGACTCTGGGGGGTGGTGCTCATCTCCATTTCTAAGCCAAAGAGCCGTCATTATCCATAGACACCTCCAAGGTCATGTGGACGGCATGACTGCATGGAGTGCCGTTACCTTCTTGCCGGAGTGGTACCTATTGATCTACTCACATTTGCATGTTTTCAAACTGCTAGGTTGGCAGAAGCTAGGGCTGACAGCAGAAGCTCACACCGCTCCCCGGAATTGAACCTTCGACCTTTCTGTCAACAACCTCAGCAGCTCAGTGCTTTAACCCACTGCACTACTGGGGGCACTAACACTGTGAGACTAAGACCAGTTTAAAACCACTTCATGGGACCTTATTGTTCTGCCTCAAACACTATATGACACAAGAGAGTTAAAACCATTGCTTTCCATGAGATCCTATTGTTCTGCACCAAACCTCATAGGATACAAGAGACAGTGCTCCAGGTTAAAACAATTGCTTTCCATGGGATCATATTGTTCTGTATCAATCTTCATAGGAAACAAGAGACTGCTTCATAGGAAACAAGAGCTGGGCAATGAAACAGGCCATAAAACTTTTGATGGTTCCCATCACATCAGTTTTGCAGTTGTAAACATGGGGGTAAAGTGTGATAAGAGGTGAGTTCTGAAAACAATTGCTGGCCTGTGTTCAGAGTTCCCTACTTTTCGGGACATGAGATGAACCCCCTGCTCTCCATGTTTGAAAAGAGGCTGAAGTGTCCTACAAGGGGGATATTTCTCACTGTGATAAAGTGGTTAGCTAAAATCACTAATACGTTTTCATGGTTGAGTGGGCATTTGAACCTTGGTCTCCAGAGTCCAACACTCAAACCACCATAACATGTTGGCTCTCTGGCTGCATTTATATTAGCCCGGTATGTGATGGCCTTGTCACCAGATGCCACTATGTCAAAAGGCAGGAAGAACAGAGATAAAAAGAATGTAAATGTCAAGCCTTTCGGTTGATCAGTAAAACTGTTTACATGTAGGCACTCACTAATCTTAAGGTAATTTCCCTATCAATAGGATGTTATTACAGTTGCAAGGTGCTCTGGAATGACGCCTCCTTGTGTACACATTCACACCCAATAATCTCAATGGTCATTTAGCGTTTACTTTTGAGTAGTGCTCAAATTGCTTTCCTGTGTGGGAAACAGAAAAGACCCAACAAACACTTCCTCTTTCCCTCATAGCT